TGGCCCGCGAGGGCCGCTTCGTCCGGGCCGCGCGGCGGGGTGAGCGCGGGCGCCACCAACGCGGCGCTCGTGGGGCGCATCATCCGCGTGGACCACGCCGGCGAGTACGGCGCGAACCGCATCTACGCGGGGCAGATGGCCGTGCTGGGCAGGTCGGCGGTGGGGCCGCTCATACAGGTGAGCGCCCGGGTATCTGCAGGTGTTGCCCTTCCTCCTGTTTCCTTTGTGCACGGCAGAGAGGTAGCGCTAGAGTTAGTGCGGCCTGAGCTGCATGTTTTGTTTCTGTGATTGGCTTTGTTCAAGGGTCACACTTCTCCGTGGTCTGCTTTACTGTGATTCGGTTCTGTTTCAGCAAATGTGGAATCAAGAAAAAGAGCACCTAAAAAAATTTAATGAGCTGATGGTTGCATACAGAGTTCGACCTACTGTTTTACTGCCTATCTGGAATGTAGCAGGCTTTGTTTTAGGTGAGCTTGGATTATTATTGTTGTTGTTTTATGAACTCTTTGAATGTATAAATTGTTTGTGTTGCCCTGGGTTTCATTGTTTGGATGTGTTTGTACCACCCTCTTAGGAGCTGGAAGTGCCTTACTTGGAAAGAAAGGTGCGATGGCTTGCACGGTGGCAGTGGAGGAGAGCATATCCAATCACTATAATAATCAGATCAGAACTCTTATGGAGGAAGATCCAGAAAAGTACAGAGAACTATTGCAGGTATGGGACTATAATGTAAAAGGAGTTTGATTGATTGATGTAATGAGACTTAGGACAGTGTGTCAGAATTTATAGCAGGCCTTTATGTTCTACAAACTAGATTTCTGAAAGCAACAGAAACCTTAAATTAAAAGGATAGTTGTTCCTTCAGCAATTCTAAATTGATGAAACATCAAAATGTGTTAGGCTAGTATTTAACTGGCACTTAATTCAGTATTTTTATTTGAATAGTTGTATTTTTTTTAATTATGCTTAACTGAAAGGAAGAGCAAAATAAAATAAAGTGGTGTGATGAATTACATAGTAATGGTTATACTGGATATAATTGAATTATTCAGGTTTTGAATACAGAGTGTGAAGGGAGTCAATGTTTATTAGATCTGCAAGAAAAGTAACTCACAACTATCTTAAGCATAAAATTGGGTCGCATTTTTGTAGATACTTGTGAGAGAGGAGGTGTTTCTGCTGCAGCCCACACTGAGCTCCCTGGTGCGCCGCTTGCTCTGGGGTCTGCTCAGCTGTCCATAGTTTAACTTGTGGCCAAGTCTGTCTGCTCCCAAATTGTCCTCTTGTTGCAGACACAGTATCTGAAGTAACCCAGCCTGTGCTGACGTATGAGGGAAACATTGCTTATAAAAGTAAAGGCTAATAACCTAACATTTTTTTTTTTCCTAGCTGCTTTGATTTCTGTGTACGGTAAACCTACTAATTACTTACTCCTTTTAAAGGTAATAAAGCAGTTTCGGGATGATGAACTGGAGCACCATGACATTGGGCTAGAACACAACGCAGAATCAGTAAGTTCAGTGTTAACTCACTGGTGCTGTTAGCAAGGATCTAGGTGTGATAATGTTCCTTAGTTGTGAGAAATAAAAAATAATACTTGGATTCTTTCCTGGCAATAGATGTAAGATAACTGAAGTGGCACTAAAAAATAATACTTGGATTCTTTCCTGATAGAAAGATAACTGATGTGGTTAGATGCAAGATAACTGAAGTGGCATTACCTCTTACAACTTTTATTTTTCTAGAACAGAATTAAATCAGTTTGAACTTGCATCAAATGTTAAAGTGATGTTTGTTTTCCTGAGAAGTGCCCTCTGCTCAGATTTGCTTTTTTTATTTAAAGTTTTTATTTAGTCATATCTCAAAAATATTTAGTCCAATAAATTCTTTCCATACAGTGGGGAAATTAAGGCATCATCTTGGTAGTCAGATACAACTGTGTTAGGAAAGCTGAAGTTCTGAATCAAAATCTGTGCTCATAGGAGGAAATTGTGAATTCCCAACTTACTGAAGAATTAGATGTATTTTATCTTGTATTGTTTCTTTTGCAGGCACCAGCTTACTCAGTTTTGAAGACAGCTATACAGCTTGGATGCAAAGCTGCTATATTTTTATCAGAAAGAATTTAGTGATATTTTCCATAGTGACTGTGGTAATAAATTATGACACAAAAGTGTGTGCAATTGTGGAAGACTATTAGTTATTTTATAAGGACTTTAAAAATTTTCTTTGTGAAACATCTGATTAGGCCTTTCTCATATCGACCACCTGTGCAATAAGTGTGTGCACTAAGGTCAGTGGAACTCAGTGTGAGTGAAGATGGCAAAATTGTGTCTGTATGAGCTAAAGCTCGCTCTTCTGAAGCTGTTCAAAAGGTGGCAGTAGAAATATATGTATGCAAATCATGTATATACCTGTATAAAAAATGGAAAATGCCTTCTCTGTTGCCTTCACATTTATGTTTATTCGAAATAAGTTGGAACGTATTACCTTAAGATAGTTATGCTAAGTAGGACATTTCTGACTTCTGTTTTAAGGGTGAGTAAATGAAATCCTATTAATTATTTATTTTCAGTCTGTCTTGAATAAAATTTGGTTATTATAAGACTTTCATTTGAAAGCTTTTTATTTATTATTTTTAAGCTCGATTCCTTTTTCTTTATTTAGTCAGATTTTCTATTTACCTGATTTTGTCCTGAGTGTGTGCAGAAGGAACAGACTCCTGATACAAAGCAGGTGGGCAGAGCCATTTGGAGCACCTGCAGAATTGCATCTAGTATTTTGTTACACCTTTTAAGATTATCTCTCTCTGCATCTAGACTTAAGTGGCTTTTGAGTAAGGACTCTGGTCTTCCCAGTGTAGAAACAAGAACCAATTTCCCCATATTTCTTGCTGACATCTTGGCACAGAGCAGTAGAAACACAAGACAGCTCTGTGTATCTGCTCTCTTAACACTGACCAGAGATAACAAGATCCAGTTAAGAAAACAGCAATGTAATTAATTAATCTTAACCCAGTAGGGAATGAGACTTCCCTCAACACGTTTGAGAGGCTGGGGCTATAAACTGTTATAGGTTCCAAGCAGGCAGAGAGAAGGGTTGAGTTTTGACTCCTTTTGCTATTATTTTAAAACATGATTAAATTTGTAGGGAGATAGGAATTGCTAAATTTGCTTCTGTCTACTGGACCAACTACTCCTTTTTTGAGATGGAGACATGGATATGATTTCCAGTGCAGAAGTGGACAGGATTTGAGAAAGTAATTGCTTCTATTGCTCTTTATGTCTTAAGAACTTCCCGGCCATGCTTTCTTACAGTATCATGATGGAAGTAAAATGACTTTACAAATGCATATGGAGAATATAAAAGATGCTGATAAAAACATACAAAGTCCCTGCAAAAGGCTTGCATTCTTACAGTTGAGAAGTATGATTTTTTGATCGTGCCAAGAGGAGGCCTCTGAATAATATTGTGCCTAAGACTTTGGTCAGACAAGGCTTTCTCAACTGTCATAAGCTGCCTCACTTACTAAAACTGCAATATTTTTTAGCTATGACTAACTGAACAGGTCAACTGTGGAGGTTAAATAAAACTTAGTTTAAAATGAAACTGGGAACTTGGACATAAAACAGTAGCAGTGTTTCCTGCGACTATTGTGAAGAGTGGTGCCAGCGTTGCCAGTCTTGAGTTCTACCTGGCACATCCAGATGCATGGACTTTGTGTTTGGTAAGGTGTCAGACAACATATACTCCAGGTACATCTCTAAATCTTTTGTGTAGTCTTGTTGTAGAAGGATCTGTACAGATACAGATTCAACATGAAGGGTTTCTGGGAGAGATTTATTTTTATTTTTGTTTATTTTTTTGTGAAGGTATTTGGACTGACAGTTAAATCTTAATATAGCAAGTCTTATTTTTTATGATTTATCAAGGTGTCAGACAACATATACTCCAGGTACATCTCTAAATCTTTTGTGTAGTCTTGTTGTAGAAGGATCTGTACAGATACAGATTCAACATGAAGGGTTTCTGGGAGAGATTTATTTTTATTTTTGTTTATTTTTTTGTGAAGGTATTTGGACTGACAGTTAAATCTTAATATAGCAAGTCTTATTTTTTATGATTTATCGTGAATGATGGTTTGTGCATTCTTTAAGAATAATTCCACCATTGCAAATCTGGCCTGGTTAAACTCAAGCTACTGATGTTACTTAAACTTTCTAACCACAGTAGTGTTTGGTTGTTTATCTGTGACTGACTTGCACGTCCACTGGAATAACTTGATTCTGGAAACTTGAAGCTAAGTCACTGATTCCTCAGGGCTGAGCAGTATGAAACAAGCTCTAAGGGATTCTCATTTTCTTTCCCCTCATCTCAGCCCCGGACAATTGCAAACTGTGCATGTAAACATGAGTTTCCTAAAGATGGGTTTTACTAGACTAACATGTAATCTTTCCTAATTTGACCAATTCTTTAAACAAAAATCATACCAGACTTCTTATCTTAATTTCACTAACAGATTTGATATGGTGCACATGGAAAATAAATAGGTATCTTGAGAAGAATCACCGCAAGAGTAGTTAATTAGAGCAGCTAGAGGGGTAGCAAGTGCCAAAAGAACATGCAGTGCTTGAGTGTGATTGCTCAGGAAGTTTCTGAGAACCTGATTTTGAGACTATTCATTAACAAAAGTGACAAAGTATTGAATCTGTCTGTGATGTAGAATTGCTTGATAAAGTAGAACTAAAACTTACTTGAAAATACCTTGCGCTTATGCAAGTTGTGGACATTGCTAATTGAGTGAAAAGGCAGGGGAGGAGGTTGCTTGGTGAATACTCCATTGTAGAGGCTGTAGTAGCAGGGGGCAGGACGGGACACCATCGTTGTTGAATGCGCTGTCTGGATTGGGGAGAGCAGGAACAGGCCGCGTTGAGCCAGGGCCGCGAGTCGCGCCCCCGCACGCACAAAGGTCCTGTGGTGCAAAGCAGAAACAGAGCCAGGCCGTTTCCTCCCCTCTTGGCCATTACAGCAGGGTTGAATATTAGACAAGGCATCTGTGGTGCCTTCCTAGATAGATTATACTCTGTTGAAGTCTGAATTCTCAAAGGCACAAGTTACAGAGCGATTCTCTGAAAATGTCTGCGGTGGCGTTCGACGGTTGTGGAATTTGCTGCTGACAGAGCATCGTTCATGTGATCCGCGTTTCAAGCTGTGGGTGGCCTTGGAGGCCATCACACGCTGCCCATTTGAAGCAACAATGTTTGAGGGAAAAATTGCATTTTTAATGCGTTTAGTTTGGCTGAAGGGTGGGAACATGAAATATCAGGAAATTCCATGTGAGGTCAGTGACTGCAGTAACTAGGAGCATTCATAGCAAGTCCCTTGTCCTCAGCAGCTGAAAACATGCTCTCCTAACAGAGTTCATCTAAAGTGCTTTTAAGTAGGCTGTCAGGTAGTAATAACTGTCTCTAGCAGCGAGCATAAATGCTAAGCATAAAATAAAAATCAGATGAAGAACTCTGATTTACATTTTGCATCTGGATTTGTTGTTTACTGAAACAAAATTAAAGCGTGGATGAGCCGTTCTCATGCCAGGGATGATGGCTATATGTTTCTGCTCACTCATAGTTGCTCTTTTTGTTTGTTTGTTTTACCTAGAAAGCGGAGTTACTCTTTGTTTTCATAGTGCAAAGGGGATAAAGTTATTAAACTATGTCAGATACTGAGAGTGCAAAAGGTGGTTGAAGGTTACAAGGGGGCTAGTGATGAGGAAGTGCTGGGCAGTGCTCCATTTTGGCACAGCTGCTGCAAGGTTGCCGTTTCTTTTTATGTATCACTTTCAACCAGAACTAAAGGAGACCAGTGCTAGTCTCCATCCAGCAGAGGCCGAAGTGTGAGTATATAGTATATTATGTGAGTCTGTTATCAGAGCGATGTTCAATGAACTCTGGGCTGACCCACGGCTTCCTAACAGAGAAAAAGGAATTTGCAGCAAACGAAGGGTCTGCAAAATGTTGCACCGTCAGAATGAGAAGCAAGTGTCTCAAGGTGCTTTTGGGTGCTGGGCCCTTCTGAACCTGAGGCTAAGCACCTAAGTTGGGTCTTGTAATGTGTTCCGTGATTAAATACTTCCCCTTGGAATAATGATAGCTCCTTCTGACTTCTGCAGTAGCCAAAGGTGTGATCAGGAGTTTCACCTCCAGGAGGGGAACTTCATCCTCAGTGGTCTGAGAATCTGGTCTCTGTCCTCTGAAGACGCTCCCAATCAAGGACTCGAGTAATGACGGTGCTTTATGTAGAGGTTGGCAATGCAGCCAGGCAGTGTAGGGCTCTCCTGGATACGCTGATCGCTCTGAAGCAGGACCTCTGCTCTGTCTGCAGACACTGCTGGTGGCTCTGGAGAAGGAAAAGCAAAGGAGAGCAAACAGCCAATGCCAGCCCTGTCTTGCAAAGGGAGGAGGATGGCTTTGAAAATTCAAAGCAGATCCTGAGATTTGTGGCTCTTCAGTAACAGCTCTAGAAAGCCACCAGGGTGGCAGGGCTCACGTGACACCAGCACGGCTACGGGCAGTGTGTGCTCGCCTCTTGCCGTCTCCAGGCTAGGCAGGAATCACATCCTGGCCACAGTGATTAATGTGGTGATGCTGCCATGACTCGAATGGACGTTATGCCATGTGATGTGCGAAACGAGGCTCATAAGATTGTTTGGCCAAGGACTAGCTCAGTGTTTGAGACAGTAAATATTACAGATACATGCCAGATGTAATGGGCTTGATCCTCAGCTGGAATGAATCTGAGTTGCGCTTGAGCAAGATAGAGCTATGCATCGGCTGAGAATATGCCATACGATTTCTATTGCTGGGGGCAATGTGGATTGTGCCTCTTCGATCTTTCCTAGCATTTAAGCCATTACTTAATCTGTGAAGTCCCTGGTCCTTTGACTTCGGGGAAGATATCATTTCCAAAGAGTGTTAGTTATTTTCTATCATTGCTTCAAAGCTGTGGCATGTCACTTGCATTGAATCCTGCAGGTATTTTCAGTCTCCTGAGTGACGCTTTTTAAAGGGACAAGTCAAAAATATTGGCCAGTTTAAAGGAGGAAGGCGAGTGCCTGGGGAGGAGACTGTTCAAAGGTGCCATTTTGCCATTTGTTAATTCAGAGACCCCAGAGTGGCTGA